TCATTGTTGTTTGGCAGGTCCGGGCTGGGGATTCGAACCCGCCACCTTAGGTGTACGTGGCTAGTGCCTTAGCCGGTTGAGCTATAGGCGCCGAGCCAAGGACCCTAAGTTTTCTAATGTTGTTTTTGGAAACAGTCCAGATCTTGTCATTCTTTTCAAAAATGAAAAATGTACAGATACCTACAATGTAATTTCCCCCCAAGCTGCCACTGAGGACTTTCATATTTTATATTACATTACTTTAATATACTATACTATTACTATATTGTATATTACTAATACCAAAAAATACATATTGGGTAGTTGCTTATAATAGAAGGAATAAACAGTTAGCACAAGAGATGAAACAGGATTTTCAAGTAGGTGGAGGGGTACTCTCCCTCACTACAAATTTCTATTTTAAAATGTGCACTCATTGAGTTTAGAATATTCGTAAGTACAATCCTTTTTAGGGAAGTACCTGTATTACTCAAAGCATCTGAAAACACTAACTCCATGCAATTTTTACAGTAACTAAATACTCTCACTCCATCATGTGGTGGGGGGAGGAAATAAAGATATATCTTAGCAAAAACAATATATACAATTCAAGAACAGTTTAATCACACCGAAGTATATTCAAGGCTTGGTGCTGTGGCTCAAGCAGCTAAGGCACCAGCCACATACACCTGAGCTGGCAGTTGAAATCCAGCCTAGGCCCGCCACCAAACAACGACAGCTGCAATCCAAAAATAGCCGGGCGTTGTGGCAAGTGCCTATAGTCCCAGCTACTTGGGAGGCAGAGGCAGGAGAATTGCTTAAGCCCAGGAGTTGGAGGTTGCTGTGAGCTGTGATGCCACAGCACTCTACCCAGGGCAATAGCTTGAGGCTCTGTCTCAAAAAAACAAAAAACAAAAAACAAAGATATATCCAAAATAAAAAATAATACCCAGAAGCAAAGACTACTTATAACTCCAGAACATTTTAATTCTAAAGAGCTTTAATAAATAAAAAGCCCCACAGTTTGCAAATGTCCATCCAAAAGGGAATGACTAATCAGTCCCATCAATATTGGGGGGATATTAAGGGAAAGAAAAAGGAGGGCACAAGATATGAAGGTCGATAACTGTTTTCTTTCATAAAGATAAAAATTCTGCTTCCTCACATAACAACACAATGTCACTAAATGATAGGAATAGGCAGGAGGAAAATCACTGTCCATACTTATCTTATATACAGTATTGGGCAATTAAAAGCCAGCTGTGTTGTTTAGGAATGGCTTGCTAAAACATTGAAAAAATGAAAGACTTCATCCTTATCATAGACTGCCACTTCAGTGGAACATTCGGTGCACACGACCGGGTGATAGATTTCCTCCACTTCTGTCTGTGGCTGCTCTGCAGCATCTTCATGGTTAGACTTCATCTTCTTATGGCTCCGCCTTTTCTTCCTGTTCTCTGAGGCTTTGTATTTTAGAACCTCCTCTTTGTTAACAGAGCAATTCATCACAAACATAGCTCTATATTGAGTTTTGTATGATTCATGCCTAAGAGGAAAATGAAATGGAGAATTTGGATTTATGTTCCATTTTAATAGTTATCCGCTTAGATAAAACTTGAGAACACCAAAAACTTACTGAAGCACCAATCATAGCAAAGACATAGGAACAGGCTCAGCACCGTAGCTCAGTGATTAGGGTGCCAGCCACATACACCAGGGCTGGCGGGTTTGAACCCAGCCCAGGCCTGCTAAACAACAATGGTAACTACAACAACAAAAATAGCCAGGCGTTATGCCGGGTGCCTGCAGTCCCCTCTACCTGGGAAGCTGAGGCAAAAGAATCACTTATTCCCTAGAGTTTGAGGTTGCTGTGAGCTGTTATGCCGCAGTACTCTACTGAGAGTGACATAGTAAGACTCTGTCTCAAAAAAAAAAAAAAAAAAAGATATAGGAACAAAATAGCAAATTTAAAAAAAAAATTAAGGACTTGTTCTAAGAATAATAAGAAACTTTTTGATAGATTATATATGTATAATGAAGAAATATATCCTTTTTTTTTTTTTGGAAGAGTTTGAGTAGAATTAGTATTAGTTCTTCTTTAATTGTTTAATAGAGGCTCAGCACCTGTGGCTCAAGCGGCTAAGGCACCAGCCATATACACCTGAGCTGGCGGGTTTGAATCCAGCCCAGGCCTGCCAAACAACGATGGCTGCAACCCAAAAATAGCTGGGTGTTGTGGCGGGCACCTGTAATCCAGCTACTTGGGAGGGGGAGGCAGAAGAATCACTTGAGCCCAGGAG